CACCATCTGTTATGAGATTTTGTTATAAAAATTTTTTATTATTAAAAATTTTATTATAAAATGGCAAGAGACTTAATTTTATAATAATTAAGTATATTAAAAAAAAAAAAAAAACCTAAATGCTTACAAGTAAAACCTTCATTGAGTCGGACCCCACATGAGATGAAGACACGTGACCAGTCTCTATCTCTCCATCTCTTTGATTTTTACTACCAAAATTTAATGGCATTAATGTTCCTAATACACAAGCTACCGTACCAAATTTCGTTTCTTAATCTCCACCTCATCCTCAGATATTAAACGAAGTAAACATCAACACAAATACACACACACACATAATTATCTATAGCAGGGGTGGCCAACAAGTCGATAGCGATCGACCGGTCGATCGCAAAACCAATTTTGGTCGATCGCTTGCGATGTCTTGACTTAATATGTTACACTTGTAAGTTGTAACCGAACGCAACGCGTGAACGTAACGCACAAACGCAACTGTAGTGATATCGGACTTCCTCGTTCTCCCTCAGATGCGGTTTTGTCAGTCCATGTGCAACCATTTGCGTACAGTTGTAAAAGGGAAATAAGAAATGTAGACAAAGGGTCGTAAAACCGAAAAAAAGAAGGGACAGAGAGAGTAGGTCGGGACACGGTAGAGAGAAGAAGGGTGAAGTGGTGGTCCCCGAAAGTGACAACGTTGAGTTTCAATTTTTCTTCTGTTTAAAATGTAAGTACCTTTTCTTCGTGTTTTAAATTAAATTGTGGCTTTTCTTTTCTATCTAAACTTAGTATGTATTTCACACCTCCCTCCCCCTCGCCACTTAGACCAGGGATGGGCAACCTTTTTCTGTGTAAGGGCCGCATTTCAAAACTTTTGAACTAACGCCGGCCACATACAAGATAAAAGAGGGGGGAAAATGCCGGTAAATCACAATTATTTATTCATATATAATTATAAAATAGAATAGGTATACTTAATTTAGCTTCTAGAACTGATGTAAACGTAATGTATCAAAAATATTTGATTAAATATTAGTCACTGCTAGTTTTAAATTAGTTTCGAGGTGAGTCTGTTAGCCGGTTTCTCGTTTTAATTTTTACTAAATTCATTGCAGGAAAAACTATTCACACACATAAATTGTAGAAAATAACGTTTGAATTTTTGCTGCATACTATAAGTTAATGTTATTTTTACGAACAAAAAATAAAATATTTGAGTCTGTTTTTATTAATAAAGAAACACTCTACGTAATTCATTTGTTTAAAAAAATCGGATAAAGGGGCCCACTTTAACCTAGGAAATTGATATATTTATACACATTTTATGCGATTCGGGCCGCGGAATGCCCATCGCTGACTTAGATTATGCCTACGACAACGAGTCGATCGCGACACATTTTTAAGATAAAAACTAGATCTTATGTACACAAAAGTTGGCCATCCCTGATCTATAGTATATAGAATAAAATATGTTCTATGAAATTTCTCAATGTGTTATAAATATATAAAATATTGAGCAAGTTTAACGTTTTTTATTTGGCATATCGTAATAAATATCTAAATCGTAATCGGAATCTTCTTTGTCTTCAGTGTAAGGACTAGAAATAAATTTTACTTCATCTTTCTTTACTACAACTTTGTGACCAATATTATAATTTGAACGACCGCTTGTTCCAGCTGTTTCGTCGAATAAACGATGAAAATCTGATGAGTAATCTACTTCGATGTCTTCGTCGGAATCGCTTAGTTCTATTTTATATCGTAAAGTATTTGGCATACATGGATCCGGATCCAATTTATATTCTTTCTTCTTAAGCAGTGTTTTCTATAAACATATAAAACTTTGTTTATCATTAGTAGCTTAATGGAACTTAGTTCTCAAGGCTTTTGCAAGAAACAGAAACTATTGCTTGCCATTTTAGTTTTACTTTTATCATCCCTTCGCCGATTTTTTTTAACATTAATTTTAGTTTTTGCTGCTGGAGCATGATCAGACTATAAGAATATAGAAGGAATTTATAAATTTATAATTAAATATCTTGAATTAACCTTAACTTTATTATTAATTCAGCAACTTGAACTTACATCTTGATCTGATTCTGTGGTAGAAACGAAATTTACGCGCGGTCTAGACTTTTTAAAAGGGTTTTATTAATTATGGTTTCAAATTATCTTCAAAATTACTTGAATATTTATCAAAAATAGAGATTTAAATAGGCCTACTTACTCCCTGATGCTTTATGGTAATTGTTGTATTGTCGTTATTGTCAATGTCAAGAACTTTTCGAATATTACGTGGCTTTAAGAATAATGAATTAGAAAATAAATGAGAAAAGATAATGTTTTATAAATAAATTTACCTTAGGCATGGCAATGTAAACTTATAAATGTTTCAGGTCTGTGAGAACGAAGAAGGAATTTGAGAGAAATGGCTTTATTCACAATATAGTAGACTTCATATGATTTAAAGTAGCAGTTTCTTAACGAAAACTGGCACAATTAATAGTTGACAATGAAAATAAACTATTGTAGGAAAACTGAATTTTATTACGGTTTGAATTATTACTATACATTGCAAACAATCTTTTATAGTTAGATGTAAGTGTGAGATCAAAAAATATGCATCTCAATGGAGAACACTACATTTTTGTTTTTATGAATTTTCAGATGGATATTTACCATAAATAGTATGTATCCGTCTGAAAATCCGCAAAAATTCATTAATGACTTACAGTAAGAGGGCATTCTCCAATTTGGACGCCATGTTTCGCTAGAGATATCATTCTTTTCAGAAAAAACAGAAAAATCATTCATAGTCGTAGCAGAAAAATCACGTATTAGCTTATTTCTGTTGCAGTGATTACTGCCTATGTGTAAAGTCACTTAAAAAAATCTTACTTATATTCAAATTTTAAAAACTAATTATTAAAATGGACCTAACATCAAGTTATTAATTAATAAAAGGAATTTTGTTGCTTTATGGAACTTGTAAATTTCTTGGTAATTTATTCTCGGTAAAACGTATTCTGCGCGAATGAACAAATTTAAAGAAATTAAGAATTGTTAAGATAGAATTTCTAGAAGAAATTAACATTTTAAAAGATATTATATGAACTACTTGCAAAATAAACGTCAACAATTATCTTGAAATTATATTATTTAATCTTATACCATGAAAAACGAAGGGTAACAGATATGTCTTCGCTCCGAGGAGTTCAGTCCTATATGACTACTTCATGGTAATGGAGGTTAGATGTTTCGACTTTGATTTGTTTCAAACCGTTTCGTTTCATTTTGATTTGTATGGAGATTTGTTATTATATATTCTACGAATATATATAAATAAAATATATAATAGTGTAGTATCGATTAACAAACTAAATAAAGTTTCGAAGAAATAACATTAAAACTGTTTTATATAAAAATGAATGCTATAAACTTGACGTTACTTCTAAATATTCTTTAGTTATGTAAGGACACGTTAAAAATCTTTATTAAACTGTAAATATTATTTGACAGTTATAGGGCCTAACCCTTTATATATACATACAGTGACCATATTTTTGGGGGGAAAATAAAGGACATATCGAAGAAAATCAAAAAATGCCTTATAAAATTCACAACTTTATAACATTTATTACGAAAATAGTAGCATACAACAATGCATACATTAAAATTTTAAACAATCTGAATTATTACACATACACACATTGTAAAAATTTAAATAACATTAATTTTGATACTTTTCAGTAGAATTAATTTTTTTATAGCGCCGTTTCACGCTTTAAAGTCATAAAATTCCATACGGGACATTCCAATTTTCAACGCTGACTCAGCGCTGATCTCAACATTCGTTAAAATTCGTTCCTTTTTTCAACGTTGAGGTAGTGCTGTTGTCAGCGCTGACTCAACACACTCAGCACTCAACAGATATGTTGACCGCTACTTTCCAATGAATTGTGGGTAATTGGTAAGACATTTGAATGGAACCCATCTTGCTGAGAATGGAATCATGGGAACTAAGCACTTCGTACTCGAGTTGGAACGTCGTTGATGACGTCAAATTGTTGACTTCAACACTCAACACTCGCGTTGAAAATTGGAATGTCCCGATACAGTTCATTTGAAAGTTGTATTTGATGGAAATACATGCTTCTAATGTGCTTACTTTTAAATCAGTTTTTTCATTCGTTCACATATTATTCACCAATGAAAATATTCGTTCAACAGGGGCATTAGATCCAGGGAGACAAAGAAAATTATACGATTTTACAAATGTTTTTGAAAACAATTTCTTTTGCTGTAAAATATTCAAAAATCTCAATCCACCTTTGATGGCAGGGCTGGTTATTCTGTCACCATTCGTCGATCTTTTCGTTTGTGACATATTTTTTTACACATGAAACTTCATCAAATAATTCACCGTCGAGTATATTTACGGACCAATGATTCGAAATAAAGATATAGCTTTCCTCTACTTTCGCCCACAAAGGGATTTCGCATAATGTGACCCATTCAAACACATCTATTTCAATAAAAAACATGTCCCAATTATTTAGATAATCTATGCACGTTTGATAAAATGTGTACACAGCATCATTGAATTTTTTGGCTTGTATATTTTCTGATTTTTCTAATGCTAAAACCACTTTTCTAATAACAATAGGAAGAAACCCCTCATTTTTTCTTTCAACTAACTTCAGCTTTAATTAACAAGTGTATCATCCATCAACTAGAGAGTTAAAAAACTATCACAAAAATCCCCATAAGAGTGTCCACCCCCTGGTACTGTCAGTGGGCCGTTTGGTTGGCGACACACTGCACTACTGCGCTCTATGTAGCAATGCAACACTGGTCGTGATGGCGTATACAAAACTAACTTGTTCAATATATTATTAAAAAAAATTTTTTTAACTTTGCGTCAACTTTACAAAATAAAGGACAAAATGCCTATTTTAGAAAATAAATAAAGTTAAAGGACAGAGCAGTGAAATAAAGGACTGTCCTCTTAAATAAAGGACGTATGGTCACTGTATATATACAGTAATATAATGAATCGGCAGGAGTATGGTTAAATAATTTAAATATAAATTCGGAGGAATTTTTTCATAAATACCTATAATAATCATCATAATTTATTAAAATTGACTATTTTTATTTAAAAAATATGCTGCTTATTTTCTAAAAGTAATAGTTTTTCCATTAAAAATATAGTCTCGTCAGTCCGTATTGATGACCTCTATTGGAGAAAATCCGAAACTACGCGTGAACGCTATATACAATAGACGACAAGCCGGCTTGTTGGTTATGTGTAAATTCCTATAAATATTCAAAGTTACATATAAATGGGAAAAATCATATAACAACTGATTTCTTTCTAAACTTGAACTGAAGATTTCAAGTCATTGATTAATGTTTTTAGGATATGAACTATTTTCATAATCTTAAATTTAACCAGATTCTTACCTTTAATATACAGGGTAAGAATCTTGCGGGGGATATTCATAAATTACGTAGATATGGGGATAGGTATGTAGGTAATCGTTACGAAGTGTTGCGTAACCAGTATTATTTATGTTACTGCTTTGTACATTATACACTATGCTTTGTAAGTTAACTAATAAAATAATGTTACGTTCAGTACTCCGTACTGTGTATTATTGTTTAGTACAATTAAGAAGGGTTGATTGAAGATATGCGTTACGTAATTTTGGAGATGTTTTGTTCGGTGTGTTACAGAGCGTTACAAGGGATGGGTAGCGTCACGTGATCTATGGAGGATCTCGTTAGAGTTTAAAAAAATATTGTTAAACAGATTGATTCAATCGCAAAAGAGGCAGATAAGTGAAAGTTTAAGGATATTCCGAAAAAATGTCAATATACAAAACTTGCATTCGCATAAAAAGTATCTGTTTTTTAATTTATTTTTTTAAAGAAGTTTTAATTTTAATTTTAATTAAAACTTTTTAAAAACTCTGAGATGAATTGAATTGATATAAAAACACTAAACGAAAAAAGTGGGCAATTAAATTTATTCATTGTTTTCATTACTTTTAATATAAAGAAGAAAGAATATTGTAGATTAGGAAATTATTCATTTCAGGCGGTCGCATCATAATTAAAGGTTTATCCCGCTGTTGAGACGAATCTTCAATTTCGTCTTCTGTCTCCATAAAAAGTTAATAGTATATTCCATACCAGTAAAGCACATTTCAGTAATTTTTCTTCTGTTTCAGAAGTTTTTATTAAAATACAGTAATAGATTTAATAAAATTAACATGCACATTTTTCTAATTTTTATGTACCTTATGTCAATATTATCGTTTTTATGTAAGTAAAAATTATCTGACAAAGCGCCAACTTCAAGTTATTAATCAGTTTTTAACTTAAAAATGTACCAATAAATATTGACAAAAATAATTCGATCGTTACTCAACAGATGGCGATACATTATTATTAATTTCAAATGAATATTTTTAGTTCGTCATATTTTAAAATATTTCTATACTCACGAGAATAGATGATGAAAGATGGCTTGACAAATCTGTATAAACCATCCTTGAAAATCTGTGAATTGAGAACTCGAATCCCTATCCCAAAGAGGCAATGTAATGTCTTTGGCAGAGTCCTGGCCCAATATTTTGAAAATTTTGTCCCTTTTCCCCATTCTGATGACTCTGTGACCATGCAAATAACTTCTATTTCTGAAATTACGTAGCCTAAAAAATTCAAATCTCCAAATAGTTTAATTGGGCTGCAATTTGAAAAAATTGTACACCTATAAACGCCCATTGTCATCCGTCCGTATGTCTGTCCTTCCTTAATCTCCAGAATAGAGTTAGACAGATGAAAGCTGAGACCATATATGGAAAACTTTAGGGGTAGGAGGTCTCGATTAACTATGTACGAACTTCCGATGCAAACCGAAAATCATATTTTTTCAATTCAGAACGTTTTCCCTGAAAGGAGTTAGATAGATGATCGACACGACTCTATTCCTAGCAGGAAAAGTATGACGCACAGGGGCAAGCCACTACTAATTTGAGGTGGAGAGCATATATTTTAAATTAAATAAATCTAAAATATGATTACAAATTGCAGCCCGGCATTGTGACGATGTTATAATAAATAATTTCTCGTTTATTCTTAAGTTTAAAAACAATAAGGATGTTTTCAAATGGCTTTTTCCTACTTAAATGCTGACATTTCTTTTTACTTTTCGAAGTTACATTAAACAGTTGTAATTACTCAAGCCACAATTCATAAAACCATAGAATATGTGTTTTATGTTATTTTATAATTATATTATATATCAGTTCGTATTAACTATTTTACAATAACGAATTAAATTAAATAAATACAATGCTGCAATTGCATACTGTTGTAGCATTACCAGTTCTCAATTGATATTGCTGATTTATTGTCCCTTCTATCCAATATTGCTTCTGTTGATAATTTCTCCGATACTGTGACCCTTCAATCTCATGACATCGTGTCTATAACACATTTTCAACAGAGAATAGGCTGTATTCAACTCAATTTTTTAAGAGGGTAGGCTACGTGACCAGGCCCAGACCTCCTTTTATACTGATTCATATATTCTGTTTATTTTTTAGTAAAGATTTTGTCTTTTACTTATAAAATGGAAAGTTAAACAAATATATACATTATTCTGCTAATTTTTTAATATAAATCTAGTGTAGCAGTTAATTTGTACAAAAATTTAAACTTAAAAAACTAAATTTTCTTACCACTTTTATATGAAAATCACACTGTAATGTGAGCAGCAATAACTGCAATTACAGTAATAATAGTGAAGAATATTGTAATACTTGTTAGTTAGTAATAATATAGTAATGGCACTTAATTCTTAGCTAAATGCTTTTATCATGCAGAAAAAAGGTTTGAATTATATATTAACTAAGGCTCAACTGCGATAAAAAGCATGCTGCATAGGGAATAAAAGCAATTTTTACTACTGTATCTTTCTTTTCTTACTTCCATGCATCTTTCTGATTTTTAAAAAAAAATCTTTAAGTGCTATACTTAATCCGCAATTTCTAGTAGAAATCATTCAATATTCAAAACTGAATTTATTCAATCAAAGAAATGTACTACGCATTTTTTGATGAAAGGAAAATGGATCTAGACCTTTCAACTTCATAAAGAAAAATCTATTCTGCTTGAAAACATCTAAAGTCGATTTTTTTCCATATATAAAATTTATTTAAGTTAGGAAAAATTCTAAATGCATTTTTATTCTAGAAAAATTTTTTAAAGCCATTTGTCAAATGTTAATTTTCTCCATTACATGCTTAATTAATTATTATTATAGTAGCCATGATTTATAGTTCAAAATGTATAATTCATCGCATTAAATATTAATATAGTATTAGGGATATGTTTTTTAAATGAAAAGTGGAAGCGAAGAAAATCTTTCATTAAAAAAAGAAGAAGAAAAATACATTTGCAAGACGACTTTATAATATTCAACTTCTTGCATAAAAATAAAGCTAATGTCCTGAATTTTATAAATAGTTTTATAGCATAATATCTAAATTTATTATAGAGATTTTGTATGTATAGTAAAGGAGAAACGCACGCTCGAATGATTGCATCTACAGCCTGACATCAAATGTCTGATGGCTCGAAATTCAATGGGAAGTTTGTGTGATGGATGAACATTGCATTTGAAAGAAAAAAGAAAAAAAAAGAGAAGCGTATACAAACAGGGTTCTGATAGATGCAGTTTTTCATCCAGTTCGCTTTCTGTATCACGAGGGCCGGATGTAATATGAAAGAGAAAAGCTCTTCCGGGTATTGTGCACTGCTAGTAGGCCAGACAAACAGACGCACGAAGTAGTAGCCTATACAAAAATAAGTCGTCTCCTTTTCAAACCCGAATATGCAGTTTTATATAGTATGCATTTACTATCTTAGTTTACTGAGGAGACTCAATTCGCTTGTATTTTAAAATACCATTTCCTTACTTCTACTAGAAAGAATTAATTTTTTATAGCCGATACTTTTCTAATAAATTTACTAACTCAACAGATGTTTCCTTAGAGCTGTATTTTGAGAGATTTCTCACGAGATTTCCGTTAAAGCTGCTGTATTATTTAAGAAAAGAGACAGAAACCAATCACTGTATTTATATTAATTTAAAGAAAAACCACTATACAACAATATACAAAAACCGAACAAATAAAAAAATGAAAGCAAACAACTTTTTTGTGGCACATTTTCAGTGGACCCAAGGGCCCTGATGGTCTCGCAACAGGAAGACAATAATGCCCAGCAGCTCAGGCTCCTTTTTTTTATATATATCGTTTGTCAGGACATGTACAAGAATTGTTTCCATAACAGCATGTCTCTACCATCGTAACAAATTCCTTCTAAACTATTTCTTCTCTAACAGTTTTCATAAATGCAAAAACAGTATTTTTTTTCTTTTACTTTTTTTCCTTGTCGAACAATATCACTCCCAACGGGCAAAGAAAAAAGAAATTCGGTTCTTCCATATAAAAAAATACCCAAATATATATATATTTATATTTTGTTTTTTTTTTATATATTTTTTTCTTATTTTTTGGGTAGATGAGGCCTGCATAGATCGCGACTGCTATTCAAACTTGGCACCTTTCTGGCGAGACAGTGCTGCCATTTATTTGGCACATGGCGTTCGTTCGAGCGAACTTCCTTTTCCATCAATTATGTTTTTTGCATAGTTTAATTCATTTTTTAATAGTCGACGTCACAGCCAGGGTCCTATTTCTTTTTCTACTACCAAGGCAGCATCAGAACGCCCCATTAATCTCAACAAGTTTAGAAAGTCCGTTAGGGCACTCGGGTCCCTATGCCGCACTTCCCATAAATCCAAGATGTGCTCTGTAGGACTTGGCTTAGTTGCAAAAAAATTGATGTACCTACAGCAATATAAAATATGTTGTAATTAATCTTTCATAGAAAACAAACATTTATTCCGATCTTACTTGCCTGTCTACTTTTAATTCTCTTGCCAATCTTCTCCAATCATTCCCTGATGTGTTTGGAGGGTCTAGAAGATTGCACAGTAGTTTTCTTGCTTCTAATGTTAATCTTTATGGGAATATATATTAAATTATAGTATAAAATGCGAATTACTTCGTTTATTTAATAGAAAAATAGTAGGTGTAATGAAATTTTAGCAGCAGGGATATAATTAAACATGATATACAGGGATAAGTAATGTGAAGGAATAAAATGTATTATCATTTTGGTAAATTAATAGATGCGTTATTTAATATTCGTACCTGAAACCGGCAACAGGTTGGTCCAATGTTACTATAGAATTACCATTGTCTCCGCTGGTAACAGTTGTATTCAGAGGTTGTGACAACCAAGATGGACTGGGTGGATTTTTCTGAAAAATTTTCAATCATCTTTAATCTTTGCCGGATTAGCTAGCTTGCATGAAAGTATTTTCGGATACTCACATCTCTTAGATCGGTATTAATCCTCAGAAGCTGTCGGTGTGCTTGCACTCCCCTCTGATAGACTAAGATGTGACATCGGATGACTTGCAGCGATCGATCGATGTGCTCCAGGGTGAAAGAGCAGTGCAGATTATTTTGACGTCCACACCACACGTGTTGGAACGGAATTTCCTGTTAAACATATTCAATATTTAGTAAGTGGAATTTTAAAATTTTTTGCAGTATTTATACTTAAAAATGATTCCTCCAAGTTTTCAGATAGAAAACTTAATTGGCACGCTAGTTTTTCTAGTTCGGTCAGTTTAGAAAATGAATAATTTATTTTAAAAATATGAAATTATAAAATATTAATTTTACAATATTTATTCAATTAATTCCTAATGAACTTGCCTGATAGTTAGCACCCGGTTTGCATCGCCACCCGGGACCAATATCCTCTAAACATAAACATAAATTGGCTCCTCCATCTTGAAAAGGCATCGATTTTGGTCTGTCCAACAATTTCCCTCCTAATTTCTGTTCGATTTGTATTACTCCCTGCAAAAAAGGAAATCCAAAATTAGTTCCGTCGTCATTACTAATAGGTCTTTAAATAGTATAACTCGTACGTAATGTTCGTCGGCACGCTCTGAGGGCTCTTCAAGTTAGGAGGCAAATTATCATTACGTTTATTAATAATATGCAGCATGGTATAATTCAGATTAATGGAGCTAACTGCGCGAAGCAAATGTTGTGTATATAACCCTCATACATCTTAATTAATGTGTAAACGGGAGATAAATTTATGCGCAGTTTAATTCGAATTATGTCGCGTATTATACACTGTTTTTCCAGTTACGCTCGAAGAATTTCGCATCTGTTACTAAATCTTAAAGATTGTAGCCAAGGATAACTTGCCTACAGTCTTTAAGATTTCAAAAACTTACCTGTAAAGCTGCCTGCGTGTCTTCCACACAATAGAGTCGTATGCAATAATCAACGGACGAATGAAGAGGTGGTGCAAAAGCTGCTAGATTTAGTGACTTTATAGCTTTACTTTCTCCTGTAGACTCACCCACCAGTGCGAATCTCCCAAGCTGTTCCATTAAGAGATGGCAATGCTGCAGATCCATTTGACAGTAAAGTGGTGTGTTGATAGTTTCTCGTCCCAACGTTACCAGATTCTGTAACAGAAACGGAAATCTGTCAGCAGAGTATTCTTCTACTAAAACTAAATATAACCCGTCACTTAGCCTCTTAGCAGTTTTATTTATGTAGTACTTAAAAGCTAAACAAGAATAGAAGAATGTCCGACTTACCTTCCAGTCGGGATTATCTTCATCGTTAGCGCCATCGCTGCCATAAACGCTGATACTCCAGTTGTTAGGTGCCAAAGTGGCGCAGTGTTGGAAGCTTAACACCACAGCCTTTTTGAACTGAAGACCCGGCGGTCCACATTGCACCACGGGACTTAATATAGTTTGCTTATCTGCAAATTAATCCAATTAACAACTATAAAGATCGAATTAAATGAGGGAAGGAGCGCTAATCCCCTTACCATTTAATTTTGGTCTATCGCGATCATCTCTGAGTACCGCCACGTAAATTTCATTACTCGATCCTTTCTTAACTGATCCCGGTGGGATAGTTAGAGTTATACCTGAAATAAAATTCTCCATTTATAAGTAGCCCACAGACAATTAAAAAAAAAAAAAGACGTGATAAATGTAAAGGTATGTCTGAAATTATCAATTTTTCTAGGAAATTTACGAAGGGGGAGATAATTCTGAACGAATTCTTACAATTTTAATTATATATTTGCTTAAATATATCAATTATTAATTGATTCATTCGTATTCTAAGCGTATGCTTTGCTTATAATTGTCAGAATTTATCTACATGATTTTGATTAAGTAAACTTATCAAAAATTCTGTTTTTTAATGTTTTCTTTGTATTTTATTTAAATTTTTTTTGTAACAAACTGTTGCTGAACAGATAGGGAGTTGTGTTACGTCATTGTTAACGTGACTGAAACGAGAGGAATTATATTACATCAGGAATTAACTGGTAATGAAAACAAAGGTGGATGGCCTGGCAAGAACTCATATTTAATTGAATTTAATTCCGTTTTGTTTACTCGAAGTAAATTGATATTCATTCGAGAATTTAATCGCTCGGAAATTTCATTTTCTCAAAAAGAAAAATAAAAATAATAGAATTTTCTAATGGCCGACTTTGTCTTTTTTTTTTTTTNTTTTCTTTTTTTTTTTTTTTTGTAATCTTCATTTTCGCTTTATAGAATCTTACCCCCTCTTAAAATATTCTCCCTTTCTTCTACTAAATTTATAATTATACAAAAATCCCTTTTCAAATTTTAATTTGCGTGAGTCTTTTTAAAGAGATCGGCTCTAAAATATCGGCTCGTGACTTAATTTTATAAATTACGGGTGTCGTTAACGACCATATAAGATGCATTTGGTAATACAAGCTCCTTCTTAATTTTAATTATTAGATGAATTTTTTTTCTATCGTGTAACTGTATCTCTCTCGTGACTGTAACGATACGAAAAAATTAAGTATTTGTAAAAGTGTATCGTAATATATTTATGGATTTAAAAAATGCAAGATTTAGTATTACAACACATAAAAATCCTTGTCAGGATCATAATAAAGAAGTATGTTATCGACGAATGCATCAATATCAATAAAATGTGTTTGTTGATGCTGTCACTTTTTTGTTGTTGCAACATTACAATGGGTTTTTTGCTTCTCTATATAAGAAATTTCGTCATTGTGTCATAAATTCTATAATTTTATAGTATTATTTTCCATTTTTTCGATTGAAAAACCACTTCTCATTCCAATTGACTGGCAAAAATTCATACCTAAGTACTAGGCTCATGTGGAAGCAGCTGGGACCTGTACGAGGTCCTACACTGCCTCTATTTTGATTTAAAAAACCACAGATTTAACTACGTAAATATTACAATAATAAATATCAGAGTTACGTAAAGCTTAGTTACGGCTGGATGCAAGAAAAATTTGATAAAAATTCTTTTACTGTAGTATTTTTAAATGGAACCTCTCAAGAGCGTGCACCTCATCCTCCGAGAAGTATCCAAAGGATCCTGCAAAAATCCTTTATATTCCTAAAATATTCTTGAATCTTGTTTAATTTTTGATAATATTAATTGTGTTTGCCATAAAAACTGTCCTTAAAACGAATTTTAAAACTAATTTAAGACGGCACAACATAAGATATGTACATAAAATATTAAAGAGTAAAATGTAAATTAATTTTAAACAATTAAAAGACAGCTTAAGAGGTAGAAAAACTATAGTTTTCAATGAAAATTTTGTTAAATAGATGTAATAATATTACAAGAAATTAAGGATTTTTTTTTACAAATCCATCTGGAGCCATTGGAATGCGGAAAGTAGTTTACAACCGAAAAATGGAAAATAAAAATGGCAGCTCTCTTCCAAATATCGGAGATTAATTTTGTTAACACGACTCCAAAAATTGGCTTTAAATCAAGCTTTTATTGGAACTAGATTTTTAATATAGCGCCGTCACTATAATTACACGGAATAAAATATTGCCGATATCATAATTTTTATTAGTTTCCTGCTAATAACAGTATGGGAAGGGAAATAATTAGAAACGAAAACGAAAGATGGCGCCACTTACCAGATCCGGGTACAGATATCCTGGCTCCTGCTTTGGTGACGGTGTTCCATGCCACGCACTCGATGTCCAGGTTGGGCGGTAGAGCGGCGGAAGTGACCGAATGCCTGCCAGATGGCGCTTCCGAATCGTAGGCCGATCCGGGACGTGATCCTGTTGGACGTTTCATTAATCAGTATAGGGTGGTGAGGAGTATTTAAAACGTAAGAGGATTATCTCGGGATAAAATATTGGGGGGATTATAAAACGGGAAATTCCTGCCAAACTGCAAACGGATGAGTGATAAAAAAAAAGTGAAGCATATGGTGTTTCCGGTCTATCAAGATTAATTCGGATGAGAGGGAAGACTTTTCACCTCACAAATCGAAATTCTAATTCGAGCATTCATCTTATTGTAACGATATTTATTCCTCACGCTAAACTTATTCGTTGTCGCTCCCAAACGAGAGAATTAATGTATAAATGAAAATGAAATTGGCTGTAAACGAATGAGTCGATCTGAAATTAATTATAAACAGAGCTAGAACTCAGAATTTCAAGTGATGAATTAGAAGCGAGATAAGAAAACCTCGTAACTTCATTTTCTAATAGAACTACACAGCTTTTTCATTTGTACATAAATAAAGAATTTTAAAAATTTTATATCTTTATTTTCATATAATAAAAATGATTATTGTTACTTTTATACTCATAATTTTCAATCTGCAAAGTAAGTAAAGATAAGTTTACAATGTAGACAATGTATAAGAATGATGAATATATATGCAAGATAGTCGAGAGGGGAGAAGCTGGAGATTTTTCCACTAGCCTGCAGAAAACTTGAGTGCTCTAGTGATTGAGGGCCCTGTAAATTAATAAGCTTTAAAGAAACGTTCTATGTATTTAATTTGTTTTTAAAAAATGTCAAAAGGGCCTTCTAAGAGGCAAAAAAGGCCCGCTTTACCCGGGCCTCATACAAGATCATGATAGCCTGTATATATGCTAAGTTCTTAAAGCTAAATATTCTATATGCAGCTATTAATTTTCTTCGTATATGTTTAAGGAGATCTCTTTTATATTTATAATAAGTAAGGTTACGCATCTTCATTTAGAAACAAGATTATATATTAATTGTTTATTTATAATTAATATATTACCTGAGAAACAATTGCACGTTTGTATATGTGTGTATATTTGTATGTATTTATTTACAGAAGAATAATAATAATTTGTTTTACATGTAATTGCATTATTTAAGATTTTCTTGAGATAAACTTACCCGAGCATGTAGATGTAGGTACAGAAACACAAGAATCTGATCTGGGTGGCTTTCCCGTTGAACTTGGTGTCTGTGACCTTTGGGGATCTAGAAGAGGAATTCTGCTTTGGGCAGGACTCGGAGGGATGTTTGGAGAGTAGCCATGACCGGTAGAAAGGAGAGGAGTGGCTGCATTGCATCCCAAACCGTTAATAGCTTTTTCTGCCTGGGAGAAGTCAGATCGAGCGGAACACCTCTCCCTATGCAGGTGACTGGGGAAGTTGAGTACGTTCTGAGTTAAATCTGGCTGGACCGGGATGACATCTGTAAAATAATTGCATTATTTTACACTTATATCTCTAAAGTTAGTTATATTTAGACAGTTTAAAACAAGGAGTATAGATCGATAAATAGTCTGGAGCAGCAACATATAAAAAATGTCTTTTGTTCGTGGTTCCAATATATTGTTAAAAATTGCGCCCTTAATCACGATTTTGATGGGACCAATGTTTATTACCGTAAAGGCACCTTTGATTTATATCAGTTTACGGTAATAAGCGTGATTTACGACAATTTTTGCTCCGTTGGAGATCGTTCTTGGAAAATAACACGTATAGAAAGGGGAAAGAAGTGCTACTCGATTTTAGCTCTATATTTTTTTCCCCTGCGGCAACTAGAAGAAATTTCTGTATCTATTTTTTTGTATCACAGAGAGGAAATTTGCACCGTGCAACAACAATGCACGCTCCGTCATTTCTCTTACAAATCCCTCAGACAATTTCAATTGAAGCAGAAACATTCAGATATTTCAGGAGGTTAACTTCATGACAAGCACCGCTACTCCCTGTTAGAACTGCGCCCCGGGTTCGGTACAAATATGATTACTGTTCCTTCCGCCTTGAGGTAGCAGTGTACTGGAAGCCGGGATTTTGCTTGTTGGATGGAAAATATCTGATGGGAAGTTCCCGCTATTCATCCCTGAGTCTGGGCTATTCTGTCTGGCGAGATGGCAAGCACAAAAGCCACATTGTCAGGGGCACAATGCCCTTATTCTCAGATTTGATCCTTTCAGATGCTGACGTCTTGCTGCTTGTATTTATCTTGTTTTTCTTAACACATTGAATCTCGATTTTAATTTTGTTGCACAATAAAATTTTCCCTCTCGTATTTATTTTGATAGATTTAATTTTCAAAACTGATAAAAATCTTAAATGGAAGATAGGAAAAAAGATGAAACTGGATAAGATCCAATGCAAAAGATCCAATTCGAGATAAAGATCCGACACGTATAAGATCTATAACGATTTTCTATCCTCCAAACTTCTGCTTGAATGTTTTTGAATAAAAAATAAATAAATTCTTTTGGTACTGATTCGAGAAAAATCTTTATTTTCTCTCTTGTAAATCTACTAACAAATTTCAATTTAAAAATCAAAAATCTCTGAGATAATCTTTTACTGTCTTATCAGCATGTTACTCGCCCAATTTGTTTTTTTCCTATGGAGTCACTCACATTAACTATTGATTTATTTTTTTCTCTTCCAAGTACAGCAACTAAAATATTATTGTTATTATTATTTTTCTTTATAACACAATTTCTAATATCTGTCGAATAATCTTCTATTCGATTATTATATTTTTATAAAGAAATATTTCACCAAAACAAGCGCACAAACATGGTAATTTTGTGAGTGTCATTGTAGGAGTTGGAGCATGATAAATGTTCTTCCCACTTCACGCTTAAGTCACGCAACCGCTAACAACACAATTAGAAATTTTTCCTTTTCTTACTGCTATGCATCAATTATCCTTCAGGTAACTCAGTTGAAATCTTATAATTTTCAATTTAAAAAAAAAGAAAAAAAAATTACTTTTGCAACGTTTCATCACTTCTCTTGTTGAATATCGTCACCTTTACCCATTTGTTTATTTATAAATTATTTTTCTGTGTTGAATTCTGTTACTTATAATTGACATTTGTGCTCGTAAATTCTAATTTTATGCTGCATTACTTTAAGTAAAAACAAAATAAAATTTAGAAACGCTTATTTTGATGTCATTATTTTTTTTCTGTATTATCATTAAAACGTCATAACTAATCATTTCCTTTTCCTTTGACGTCAAATATATCTTTTTCGTGCTGTTACAATATTAGACACGTTCTTCTATTACGTAAAAATTACTGATTGTTACGTCACAATTATCAGTGACGCTCGAGCGCTTCTTTACATTGTCCTTAATCTTTAATGACGTGTAAAGCACTTTTTTATTTGAAAATAATTAATATATTTTTAGACTTTTTAATAATAAAAATTTACACGGGAATTTAATACTTGATAACTTTTAAAAAGTGAAAGAAAATGGAGACACACGTACACACTTACAAACTAGCAACATCATCTGTTATTTTTCCTATTGAAGACGTCAAAATAGGACACCAAAAGACACGGGACACGTGTATGACAGTGGCACAGGAATAAATAAAAGTGCAGAAATGTTATTAAATATAATTTGGCCCTATCCTTCTCGATATTGCATTAAGTGTCAACAAGATGGATGACAATTTAGGGAACAGCGGAAGAGACTCATGAAAAGCCACTCTTCCTAATTCAATTATTAATGCCCCGATTTAAAGAAGGCGATCCTCCATTCATCTTCTGACAAATGGATTTTGGGATGTGTCCAAGGAAAAAAAGAAAAATAAATAAAAAAAGAATATATCCTAAGAGTCAGTTTATGAAAGAACTGTTGCTGCTGCTGCTGCTTCCAAAATAGCAACAAATTCTCTTCATTACCAAAGGTAATTATGAAAGAACATATAATTATTGTATTGTACTTAAGAGTAGAATTTATCAAGTTTGTCATTAATTATCCTTATTTTAATTTACACCATCGTTCATTACTGCTAAAGAATGGTTTACTTTTCTCTCTCTCCCTCTCTCTCTCTTCGCATTTAATGACAAAACTCGAATTAAAAATTATCGTAATGTTAATGATGAGTTTTAAACATTAAGTGGCAAAATTGCCTGATTTTTAATGTTTTGTTATTTAAAATGCGCATATTTCATCTTCAGAAATGTCACCTGTTTGCGAACAGCACCTTAGATTATATCTCTCTCAGTAAAATTGAGAACATCAGCACTCATTGTTACAAAGGCAGTATTTAATGAGTAGTTTGATTGATCGCTACAGAAGAAGCACTCGATTCATTAACAAACCTTATTATGAAAGTAGCATTCGGTGTATCAATGTTCACTATTATAAAGGAGCACACAATGATATACCCATTTTGATATGTTGTTGTACGTCTTGATACAGCACTTATCTTTATGGAATCAACACTTAGTGCATCAGCTCTCATTGCTTTAATAGTATTAATGCATTATTATTTAATTTATTGCTGTAGAAGGCAGCCCTCGTGTACTCTATACATATATAGCCTACTTGTAAAATATTTGATATTTACTGAAATATTATTAATGTATTGGACTGTAAGTAATAACACAATGTAGTGTGCTGCCCATTACAATAGCTAGTGGCAATTTTAATGTTTCTTTCATTAGGACAATCACGTGTCAATTGTTCTCCAATTTCTACACCTCTGGAGATCCACCTGCGTTTAAAATGCACAAACGGGAAGTGGAGGGATAAATCGGAAGAGCGCAATTTAATTCTCCCTCCGATAATTCACTCGAACGTTGTTCAACTACCCAATCAGATCTCATTAAAGGCTGACGTCAAATCGGCCACGTGCTGCAGGACAGAGGACACATGTCGGGGGAAGGAGTGCGACACGACAATCATAGTATAGGCCATCATCCGAAAATTAAAACTGTCCGGTCGAACCAAAGCCCCATTTTGAAGGTTGCGGGGAGGGGCCCCAATGGCAATGTTGTCCTAATCGGGGAGAAGCGAAGTTGCAGTTGACAGCACCGTTAACAAATGATTAATGGACGAGACTTCGACTGAAACTTCTATCCTTGTGTCCTCTCTCTCTATATATACTTTTTATATCCTCCCTCCCTTTCTACCGTGGTCTCTAACGTCAGATAAGTGAAAATTGAAGAAATATGGTGTCGTTCAGGTAGAAGTCGACTTTTATCAGATTAAAATGTATATTGTGAAGTAATCTGGAAAGAAGAAAAATTACTAAATGATAATTAAGCACGATAAGAATAATTATATGACCATTTTTTTTATACTGTCGAGTTCATCAGCAACTTGAACTCTTCTGACAACGGAAAGATGATCTATAGTTGCTACTTCGTCTATAATTTTTTTAAATTACGTAAGAAAGATGTAATTAACTATAAAATTATCTAAGAAATGTTTCAATATAGCGGCGACCTCGATTGTAATTTGAAATTCAGATGGACATTGGCAGTTCCTCGCTTGTCTTCCGTTCTCTTAATAGCACAGAACGATGGAACGAAGACCAAATGTCTTTGCTTGATGTCATCGTTCTCTTAAACAAACCGTGGTTGCTATGGAAACAACATCCCAAACGGAAGGAAGAGGAGAAAAAAGCAAAATGACGGCTCGAACATACTTTGCCAATTTCCAAGAAGACGACTTATTCCGGAAATTTTTTTTTTGAGTGGCAAATGTGGCGGAAAACGTCAAATCGTTAGAAGAACTCTCTGTTATTTTTTGACGTTTTACCAGATAGAGATTTAAGAACTGAAGTTAACTCTTCAATTTTGTTTTTTCTCCTTTAAAAAGTAGCAATGGCAAAAATTCATTGTTTTTTTCAGCCAGACTAACTATTTTAACACTAAACTAAGAGATAAACAAGTATTACAAATTGCATAACTTACCAGCAACGCCAGCACTGTACATGGATGGATCACGTCCTTTGATGCGTCGAACGACCAGCACCATCCCGACCACAACCAGGATGAACACAGCCACAGCAACACAAAGCCCCACATATAAAGCGATATCCGTCTCGGCTTCTGCCGGAGTTGCTGCAAACATAAATGCAATAATGTAAAGGTGTCCTGCTGTATCGGGTGTCAAACAGCAACATTCATCATCTGGATGGATGTCGAAAGCAATGCACACACGTCATTACATGCGCTTCGATACAGCTTCAGCGGGTGCAATACATCCTATAAAGATGTATTGAAGCGCTCTGTGAGCGTGCAACACTTTTAGCGAAGCGTATAGTTGCAACGGCGTGGCAGAGATATGAGAAAAATTAAATTTGCAAGTTAACTGTAACTCGTTGTTTTGATATAGAAATGAATTTCCTACTTGTACCATAAGCAAAATTTTTAATTAGAGTGAGATCTTTAGAATGATGGAAGATAAAATATATACCCTTCGTTTAACAAGAAATCCCAAACTACCTTCTAGAAAAAGCATTAATAATTTAGCGAGTTTCAGCATCTTGCAATTTATTACAGCGGTTAGATGAGTGCGTTAATTAAATAAAATTAAAGAAATTTTATTTTTTATAACCGTTTTTATTTTAGAACCTTTTCAATCATTGTCAATTTTCCTGTAGGTTGTTTTGTTTTTGTTTTGCAAGGTTTGTTTCGGACAAAATCACCAATCTTCAAGAAAATCCGAACAGGACAGAATGTCATTTGTTACCCTCCAAACACGTTATCTGTTCGTCCCTTCTCCTCTTGCAGACACACAATTGGACCTGTCATTCTCCTGTACTTTACACTGTGACAGTCCCCTGGTCCCACTGCTTTCTACTCTGAAATATGGCAAGCATTTTGGACCTGCACATCAGTGTGATTATTATTTTCTCCTTTCTTTCTTTCTTCTTCTTTCCCTTTAAACAATATTGCAGTTAATTTGTTTAAAAGAGTAAATCTAATTTTGGTACGACGTTCAATGTAATGGAAAACTAGTATCAGATTAATATTTCCAAATTGAGAAAAATAAGAAATTTACTACTGTATTTGTCTTTTTTTCTTTTTCCTAAATGAACGGACAAATAAGTAAATTTTCCAATTTATAATTTTGTAAGATTACTTTAAATAATTGCTTTATCTCTTCTGGGACTCAAATTCAAATTCATAACTACAGTTACTTTCGAGTATCGAAATTCTCCTCTCTTCATTCTCCGACTAAATTATCCCATCTTCGGAATTTTGGATTTCAACATTAAATTGGTTATTCAAATAAAATGGTAAACAATACAAGAAATGATCAATTAATAATTGGTAGAAATATAAAAAATAAATATTCATTTCTAGAAGATAAAATGAATTTCTATATTTTGCAACAGTAAGATGAACGTAAATAAGAAAATATACGGTGCAAGCCAAGTGTTAGTTAAGTAAAAGTACAGTACAGTACGTTCAGATAGATGTATAGTGAACTTGATTTATAACAGGTTATACATATGATACGGATATGATATCTTGTAACTTGTAACATATACAACAGCGTTACACCGCTTACGATCGAGTTTACTTGTAAAGGATAAAAGGAAATGATAAATGAAGCATTGAGGATATAGTACGAGAAAAAGCTTTTATTTTCTTATAAGACGAGCTATTTTTACGCATATAATATATGAAAATGTATGCGAATTTTATAACCACCAAATGAATTTCTCTCGGAAATTGTTTCCATTACAAAGACTCAAACAATGCCAATAAGTTGGTTGTTCAGTATTGGGGAATTAATCAAGATTTTGCTTTCTATGCTTACATAGGAAATTTAACAGCTCGTTTATATTTGTTATTAAATATTGAAGAACAGTATTTTTGGAAATGTGAAAGGCTTCATAATTATATTGTTTATAAGATACTAACACAACAGGTAACCGCTATTAACTATATTCCAATTATAATTCGTTAGGTCTTCATATTTTGCAAATCTCCATTTAAATTTCTGTTATTTTATTTATTAAAATCAATTTTAACGAATATTTAAGTTGATTTAACTACAGTTTAATCTATTTGTTAGCTTTCTTAGGTCGAATTAGTACAATTGAATTCATTGTAATAAATTACAACATAAAAAACAATATTATTTTTTCACTAAATTTTGATGTATTTAGAAAAATTAATTGGAAATTTAAAAATATACTTATATTTTTATGTATATTTTATGTGTAAACATGTATAAAACTCAGACTCAAGCACGTATATATAGCAGGCCTATATACACATGCACATGCACATGATATTTACAATACATCGCACTACAATAAGAAATAGAATGAATAAATACGTAAAGTATTAAATAAAGCCGAAGAAACAATTATCCCATTCGAAATACTTAACATATAACAAGCAATTTTAGTGATGCTTGTAATGAATACACATACTGGTTCACTAGAAAACATTATGATTACATGGAAGGTAATAACTCGAGTAACTGAAGACTAATCTTATATTTAATTAATGTATCAGGAAAGTATAATTATTTCAAGCGAAAAGAAGGAAATACGGAGACGAAAATTAGTTAAAATGAAGTGGGAGTAAAAAACAATCCTGAGAAGAAACGTATTTAAAATGAAAAAAAGGAGATAAAAAACTTGTAAAAAAAAGGGAGTGGAATACATCATAGAAGAAAGTGTATGATTAATATTGCAAAGATGAATATGCAAAAATGGAAGAAATTAGACTGGAAAAATAAAAACAGAAATACGAAAAAAAAAAGAACTCAAGGGGGAGAAACTGGAATGCAAGAAAAGATGCTCAAGCAACAAAAATAGAAATGCAAAATAAAAAATTGGATATAGGAGCAAAAATGGGAATGGAATAAAAGAAGTTGGAGGTAAAACTTTGCCATTCTTATCTTAATTTCTTATTCAGAAGCCGACATTTTTTCGGCGGTCACGGTCTCAATCTGTAACGAAAGCGAAAGAGTCGAAGCATGACGTTATTTCCTGCAGTCTAGCTCAGCGGGAAAGAACGGGGATGCACAAATCGAGACTAGAAAAGGGGGGATGGCTTGTATAGGGGATTAGTCATATCGGAACAGTGTTGTGATACAAGTAGTTGTAACTATGTTTCTCGGCTTATCTGCTTCATGCCTGGAGGGTTCGTAGGGGTAATGCGCCGATCACAAGCCACTCGTCATGAACGGTTAGTTAGCTCACAATGTTTAGACGTAGATGTTATTCATTGTTCAATGATATACCGAGGCTAATTGAATCGCGTACAAACAATATCTATAGACGGAGGAACGACTTGGTAAACATGCCCAGATTTACGTGCAAATTTTGAATTCCTGCTACGAACGGTTTGCTAACTAGAAGGGAGAAAACTCCCTCCGACTTTAGTCTCCATTAATCATAGCCCTTTTGCCAAGTTGCATGCAAATTAGAGAAAGGCTCCACCCCTAGTCGGAAGAGTTTTGGGGACTGGTGCCTCATTACCTCACCGCCTCGGGTTAGAGACATTTGGTCAGTCATGTGTGAGAAATGGCAGAGTTTCCAACGGCAAAAACACTTCAATGGCGAAAAGCACTTATCGACATAACCCTTTAAGTTTCTAGTGAAAAGGGGGGTCGAGGATAACTGTGGTTGGCTTCGGTACAATTCACTTACAAGAGACGAACCCATTACTGGTGCAGTGAATTTAATAAAGGAATTTTGAGTGCGGGAGAGGCGCAGATGCGAGTTTTGCGTTAGTTTTTTCTTCCTCTCGCTTCTCTCTGTTGTTCTCTGAATTATCTAAGAGGATTTGTAAATATTCATTTAGTTTCAGACCGTAAATTATGATGTAATTAATCCTATTAACGACCTTGGTGGTATTCATTAATAGAAGATTTAATCTACAAATTACGGATTAAATTTCGAATGGAAATGAGTTTGATTACCCAAAAGTTACTTAAAATGGTATCTAATGATTTCACATCTTTAATAAATGGTGTAGTTCATTCATAAAAAGTTAAGCTAAGCTTGAATTTGAACTATGAAGCTTGAATTTTCTTATAAACAAATAAATATATGAATGCGCGCACTGGAAGAGTCCATTGTCAACATAAAATTCTATATTCACAACAAATATTGTAATTTAATAACGTTATAAATCAAGATATAGCTACATTAATGATAAATTTACAAGATGCATAAAGAAATATCTATTTAAAAATGAATAAAAATAATAATTTGATGCTACAAGAAGCGAAAAATCGCCTCGCGAACAGTTATGGCGTTGATCTATCGTGCAGGTTACAGCTTATTACAATTTTTTTTTTAACCCTAGCGAATTTTTATTGTTTATAAAACGATAACTAAATAGAATGTTCAATAACGTTTCTCATTCAAAGAAGCAAAACGCAGAAATGTCAAATAAACGGAACGGAACAATTTCTTTGCCACAATCAAGCAAAAATGACGGATAATCGATACGATGAAAGATTCTTTGAAACTCTTCCAGTACTCACAATGGATCGTCATTAAAAACTTTCAAATAGACGGGCATCCTTTGACTGATGAAGGATGCAAGAAAAAAGTTTCCTTCGCCTTCTACAACTTAATCCTTGAAAAAAACAAAAATCAATAACCATAAATTTATATAATTTCCATCATAGAAACGTCACGTTCCTTTCTTCTTTTTTTTATTAATAATTTTTAAATATTTAGAAAGAAAATAAGAAGAAAATTAAATTAAAACGTATATTTTATAATTAATTTAGTTGGTAATTTATTAAATAAAAATGGCTAAATTTTCTGGTGTTAAAAATCACTTTAGATAAGGTAAAGTTTTTAATATAATGTAGTTTCGATCTTTAACCTCCGAAATATATATATATATGGAGAGAGAGAGAACTACATATATTTGACTTATCGAAGAAAACAGTCGGTGGTAAAGAACCTTTAAAGAATCGGGTGTGCAGGAAAGCCAAATCCCAAATGAGGCACGAAAGAGATTTTGGTCTAGAAAAGGCCACAACAATAGGATTCTATCTGGCGTGGCCCACTAGGACTCAATATTTCATTACTGGTAGCTGCAAAGTAAGCCTCGCTCCGTTGTCACCAGTAGGG